TATCCCATTACCCCATTACCCATTATCTCTCCCGTTACCCGTTATCCCCTTATCCATTACCCGTTATCCCTCCCGTTACCTGTTATCCCATTATCCCGTTACCCGCTATCCCGTTACCCCGTTATCCCGGTTACCCGTTACCCGATTATCCCGTTACCCCGTTACCCGTTATCCCTCCCGTTACCCGTTATCCCATTACCCATTATCCCTCCTGTTACCCGTTATCCGTTACCCCATTACCCGTTATCCCATTACCCGTTATCCCTCCTGTTACCCGTTATCCTGTTACCCCGTTATCCCTCCTGTTATCCCCTTATCCCATTATCCCGTTATCCCTCCCGTTACCCATTATCCCTCCTGTTACCCGTTATGCCGTTACTCATTATCCATCCCGTTAGTTATCCCTCCTGTTACCCGTTACCTGTTACCCGTTACCCATTATCCCTCCTGTTACCCGTTATCCTGTTACCCGTTATCCCTCCCGTTACCTGTTACCCGTTATCCCATTACCCGTTACCAGTTACCCGTTACCCCTCCCGTTATCCCTCCTGTTACCCCGTTACCCGTTATCCCTCCCGTTATCCGTCCTGTTATCCATTATCCCCTTATCCCTCCCGTTACCCACTATCCCGTTACCCCGTTATCCCTGTTACCCGTTACCCCATTATCCCGTTACCTGTTATCCCTTTATCCCTCCCGTTACCCGCTATCCCTCCCGTTACCCCATTATCCCTCCCGTTACCCATTATCCCTCCCGTTATCCCTCCCGTTACCCGCTATCCCTCCCGTTACCCCGTTATCCCTCCCGTTATCCATCCCGTTATCCGTTATCCCATTATCTCGTTACCCGTTATCCCTTTATCCCTCCCATTACCCCGTTATCCCTCCTGTTATCCCGTTACCCGTTATCCCTCCCGTTATCCCTCCCGTTACCCATTATCCCTCCCGTTACCCCGTTACCCGTTATCCCTCCCGTTATCCGTCCCGTTATCCATTATCCCCTTATCCCTCCCATTACCCGTTATCCCTCCCGTTACCTGTTACCTGTGACCCGTTATCCCTCCCATTACCCCGTTATCCCATTATCCCGTTACCCATTATCCCTCCTGTTACCCGTTGCCTGTTACCCGTTACCCATTATCCCTCCCATTACCCGCTATCCTGTTACCCGTTATCCCTCCCGTTATCCCTTTATCCCTCCTGTTACCCCATTATCCCTCCCGTTATCCATCCTGTTATCCGTTATCCCCTTATCCCTTTACCCGTTATCCCATTATCCCTCCCATTACCTGTTATCCCTCCCGTTACCCGTTACCCCGTTATCCCCTTATCCCGTTACCCGTTATCCCCTTATCCCATTACCCCATTACCCCGTTATCCCATTACCCCGTTACCCCGTTACCCATTACCCCGTTACCCCGTTACCCGTTACCCCGTTACCCGTTATCCCATTACCCCGTTATTGCTCCCGTTACCCATTATCCCATTACCCCATTACCCGTTATCTCTCCCGTTACCCGTTATCCCCTTATCCGTTACCCGTTATCCCTCCCGTTATACCTCCTGTTACCCCGTTCCCCATTACCCCGTTACCCCGTTACCCCGTTACCCATTACCCCGTTACCCGTTATCCCATTACCCAGTTACCCGTTACCCCGTTACCCGTTATCCCATTACCCCGTTACCCGTTACCCTGTTACCCGTTATCCCCGTTACCCCGTTACCCGTTACCCCGTTACCCATTACCCCGTTACCCCATTACCCGTTACCCCATTACCCCATTACCCCGTTACCCCGTTACCCATTACCCCGTTACCCATTACCCCGTTACCCATTACCCCGTTACCCGTTACCCCATTACCCCGTTACCCCGTTACCCCGTTACCCGTTACCCGTTACCCGTTACCCCATTACCCCGTTACCCCGTTACCCCGTTACCCATTACCCCGTTACCCCATTACCCCGTTACCCGTTACCCCATTACCCCATTACCCGTTACCCGTTACCCCGTTACCCCATTACCCCATTACCCCGTTACCCATTACCCCGTTACCCGTTACCCCGTTACCCCGTTACCCCGTTACCCGTTACCCCCTTACCCCGTTACCCCGTTACCCCGTTACCCGTTACCCATTACCCCGTTACCCATTACCCCGTTACCCCGTTACCCATTACCCCGTTACCCGTTACCCGTTCCCCCGTTACCCGTTACCCCATTACCCCGTTACCCCGTTACCCCATTACCCCATTACCCCGTTACCCCGTTACCCATTACCCCGTTACCCCATTACCCCGTTACCCGTTACCCCGTTACCCCGTTACCCCGTTACCCGTTACCCCATTACCCCATTACCCCGTTACCCCATTACCCCGTTCCCCGTTACCCACCTGCCCGGGGGTCCCCGTTGCCATGGTTTCCGGGAGCACACCCTCACGTAGTCCTTCTTGTTGATGTTCTCCAGGAACTTCACGTAGAGGCGCTGGTACCGGTGCCGCGCGTCCCCGAAGTAACCCAGGTACTGGGGGGGTGGAAATGGGGGGTCAGGGGTACCCCGACATGGGGGGCACCACCCCACAAGGACCCACATGGACACCCCCTATGGGGCACCCCGACATGGGGGGCACCACCCCACAAGGACCCACATGGACACCCCCTATGGGGCACACCAACATTGATACCTATGGGGCACCCCAACATTGACACCTATGGGGTACCCCGACATTGACACCTATGGGGTACCCTGACATTGATACCTATGGGGTACACTGACATTGACACCTATGGGGCACCCCAACATTGACACCTATGGGGTACCCCGACATTGACACCTATGGGGTACCCTGACATTGATACCTATGGGGCACCCCGACATTGACACCTATGGGGTACCCTGACATTGACACCTATGGGGCACCCCGACATTGACACCTATGGGGTACCCTGACATTGACACCTATGGGGCACCCCGACATTGACACCTATGGGGTACACTGACATTGACACCTATGGGGCACCCCGACATTGACACCTATGGGGCACCCCGACATTGACACCTATGGGGTACCCCGACATTGACACCTATGGGGCACCCCGACATTGACACCTATGGGGTACCCTGACATTGACACCTATGGGGTACCCCGACATTGACACCTATGGGGCACCCCGACATTGACACCTATGGGGCACACCGACATTGACACCATTATTGGGGTGTTCCTATTGGGGGGCGTCCCTGTTATTGGGGTGTCCCCATTATTTGGGTCCCCCCATTCTTGGGGTCCCTGTTCTTGGGGTCCCCCCGTTCCTGGGCTCCCCCCGTTATCGGTGTCCCCCCATTCTTGGTGTTCCCCTGTTCTTGGTGTCCCCCCATTCTTGGGGTCCCCGTTCTTGGTGTCCCCCTGTTTTCGGTGTCCCCGTTCCTGGGTCCCCCCATTCCTGGGTCCCTGTTCTTGGTGTCCCCATTATCGGTGTCCCCCCGTTCTTGGGGTGTCCCTGTTCTTGGGGCCCCTGTTCTTGGGGTCCCTGTTCTTGGGGTGTCCCTGTTCTTGGGGCCCCTGTTCTTGGTGTCCCTGTTATTGGGGTGTCCCTGTTATAGGGGTGTCCCCGTTGTTGGGGTGTCCCCGTTATTGGGGTGTCCCTGTTCTTGGTGTCCCCCCATTATCGGTGTCCCCGTTATCAGTGTCCCCCCGTTCTTGGGGTGTCCCCATTCTTGGGGTCCCCGTTACTGGGGTGTCCCTGTTATTGGTGTCCCCCCATTATTGGTGTCCCCGTTCTTGGGGTGTCCCCGTTATCGGTGTGTCCCTGTTATTGGGGTGTCCCTGTTATCGGTGTCCCTGTTATTGGTGTCCCCCCGTTATGGGTGTCCCTGTTATTGGTGTCCCCCCGTTCTGGGTGTCCCCCCGTTATTGGTGTCCCCGTTCTCAGTGTCCCCCTGTTATTGGTGTCCCCCCGTTATGGGGGTCCCTGTTATTGGGGTGTCCCCGTTATTGGTGTCCCCCCGTTCTCGGTGTCCCCCTGTTATTGGGGTCCTCGTTCTTGGTGTCCCCCCGTTCTCGGTGTCCCTGTTCTTGGGGTCCCCGTTATCGGTGTCCCTGTTCTTGGGGTCCCCCCATTCTCGGTGTCCCCCTGTTATGGGTCCCCCCGCTCTCGGTGTCCCCCCATTCCTGGGTCCCTGTTATTGGGGTGTCCCTGTTCTCAGTGTCCCTGTTATTGGGGTGTCCCCCCGTTATTGGGGTCCCCGTTATTGGTGTCCCCCCGTTATCGGTGTCCCTGTTCTTGGGGTCCCCGTTCTTGGTGTCCCCCCGTTATCGGTGTCCCCGTTATTGGTGTCCCCCCATTATTGGTGTCCCCCCGTTCTTGGTGTCTCCGTTATCGGTGTCCCTGTTCTTGGGGTCCCTGTTCTCGGTGTCCCCCCGTTCTCGCTGTCCCCCTGTTCTGGGTGTCCCCGTTCTGGGTGTCCCCCCGTTATCGGTGTCCCCGTTCTGGGGGTCCCCCCGTTCTTGGTGTCCCCCCGTTCTTGGTGTCCCCCCGTTATGGGGGTCCCTGTTATTGGGGTGTTTCCATTATCGGTGTCCCCCCGTTATCGGTGTCCCCCCGTTATGGGGGTCCCTGTTATTGGGGTGTCCCCATTCTTGGTGTCCCCGTTATGGGTGTCCCCCCGTTCCTGGGTCCCTGTTATTGGGGTGTCCCTGTTCTTGGGGTGTCCCCGTTATCGGTGTCCCTGTTCTTGGTGTCCCCCCGTTATCGGTGTCCCCCCATTATCGGTGTCCCCGTTATGGGTCCCCCCGTTATTGGTGTCCCCCCGTTCTGTGGGTCCCTGTTCTTGGTGTCCCCCCATTATCAGTGTCCCCCTGTTATCGGGGTCCCCGTTCTTGGGGTGTCCCCGTTCTTGGTGTCCCCCCGTTCTCGTGTCCCCCCATTATGTGGGTCCCCCCGTTCTGGGTCCCCCCGTTATTGGTGTCCCCCCATTCTCAGTGTCCCCCCATTATCGGTGTCCCCCCGTTCTGGGTCCCCCCGTTCTGGGTGTCCCCCCATTATCGGTGTCCCCGTTATCGGTGTCCCCCCGTTCTGGGTGTCCCCGTTCTGTGGGTCCCCCGCTCACGTTGCTGGTGGCACAGAACTGCCTCTGCCCGTCCTTGATCTCGGGGGTGAATTTCTGCAGCAGCGCCTTCTGCACGCGCCAGATCGGGGGGGGCTCCCGGCCCGTCTGCAGCGCCAGCTGGGGGGCAGCGTGAGGGACCCATTGGGACCCATAGAGACCCATTGGGACCCATTGGGACCCATAGAGACCCATTGGGACCCATAGAGACCCATAGAGGCCCATAGAGACCCATTGGGACCCATAGAGACCCATAGAGACCCATAGAGACCCCATAGAGACCCATAGAGACCCCATAGAGACCCCATAGAGACCCATAGAGACCCCATAGATACCCCATAGAGACCCATAGAGACCCCATAGAGACCCATAGAGACCCCATAGATACCCCATAGATAGCCTATAGACACCCCGTAGATACTCCATAGACACCCCATAAACACCCCATAGACCCATAGTGACCCCATAGAGACCCATAGAGACCCCAGACATGCACAGATACCCCAGAGACCCATAGACACCCCATAGACACCCCAGAGACCCATAGAGACCCCATAGAGACCCATAGAGACCCCAGACACCCATAGATACCCATAGACCTCAGAGACCCAGAAACCCCATAGAGAGCCCATAGAGACCCATAGATACCCCATAGAGACCCCATAGACACCTATAGATACCCCATAGACACCCCATAGAGACCCCATAGATACCCCATAGACACCCCATAGAGACCCATAGACACCCCACAGAGACCCCATAGATATCCCATAGACACCCCATAGATACCCCATAGACACCCCATAGATACCCCATAGACACCCCATAGAGACACCCCATAGAGACCCCATAGAGACACCATAGACACCCCACAGACACCCATAGACACCCCACAGACACCCATAGATACCCCATAGAGACCCCACAGCACCCTACAGACATCCCATTCATTGCCTCCCAGTCCATCCCAGTATAAACCAGTCCCTCTATAAGGTATTTCCATGTCTCCCACTCCATCCCATCGCCCCCAGTCATCCCCAACCCCATTCCCAGCCATTCCCATCCCCTTTCCCATCCCCATTCCCAACCCCATCCCCAACCCCGTTCCCAGCCCCATCCCCAGCCCCATTCCCATCCCCATTCCCACTCATTCCCATCCCCATTCCCAACCCCATTCCCAGCCCCTTTCCCAACCCCATTCCCAGTCATTCTCAACCCCATTCCATCACCTCCCAGTCATTCCCATCTCCATAACCCATATACCCCATACACTCCATCCATCCCCACCCCATGGCCACCCCACGCCATACCCCATCCCCATACCCCATACACCCCATCCATCCCATTATCCATCCATCCCTCCCATTCCCATCCCCATAACCCACATACCCCATATACTCCATCCCCACCCCACCCCATACACCCCATCCATCCCATTATCCATCCATCCCTCCCATTCCCATCCCCATAACCCATATACTCCATCCCCACCCCACCCCATCCCCACCCCATCCATCCCATACCCCATACACCCCATCCATCCCATTATCCACCCATCCCTCCCATTCCCATCCCCATACCCCATATACCCCATATACTCCATCCCCACCCCACCCCATACCCCATACACCCCATCCATCCCATTATCCATCCATCCCTCCCATTCCCATCCCCATAACCCATATACCCCATACACCCCATGCCCACCCCATCCCCATACCCCATCCATCCCATACCCCATACACCCCACCCATCCCATTATCCATCCATCCCTCCCATCCCCATAACCCATAACCCACATACCCCATACACTCCATCCGCACCCCACCCCATACCCCATCCATCCCATACCCCATACACCCCATCCATCCCATTACCCATCCATCCCTCCCATTCCCACCCCCATACCCCATACACCCCATCCCCACCCCACCCCATACCCCATCCATCCCATACACCCCATCCATCCCATTATCCATCCATCCCTCCCATTCCCATCCCCATACCCCATATACCCCATACACTCCATCCATCCCCACCCCACCCCATCCCATACCCCATACACCCCATCCATCCCATTATCCATCCATCCATCCCTCCCATTCCCACCCCCATAACCCACATACCCCATATACTCCATCCCCACCCCGTCCCCGTACCCCATACACCCCATCCATCCCATTATCCATCCATCCCTCCCATTCCCATCCCCATAACCCATATACCCCATACATCCCATTACCCATCCATCCCTCCCATTCCCACCCCCATAACCCATATACCCCATACACCCCATCCATCCCATTACCCATCCATCCCTCCCATTCCCATCCCCATACCCCATACACCCCATCCATCCCATTACCCATCCATCCCTCCCATTCCCATCCCCATACCCCATATACCCCATATACTCCATCCCCACCCCATCCCATACCCCATACACCCCATCCATCCCATTATCCATCCATCCCTCCCATTCCCATCCCCATAACCCACATACCCCATCCATCCCCACCCCATTCCCACCCCACCCCATACCCCATCCATCCCATACCCCATACACCCCATCCATCCCATTACCCATCCATCCCTCCCATTCCCACCCCCATACCCCATACACCCCATGGCCACCCCATAGCCACCCCACGCCACCCCAGAGCTCACCCTCAGCGCCGGCACGTCCTCCACCCGCACCACGAACTCATCCCTCTCCCTATAGATCCCTTCCCCTCCGCTCCCGGCCTCCTCCTCTTCCTCATCCGTGTCCCCACACACGGCGGCCGCATCCTGCTTCTGCGCCAGGTGCAGCGCCCGTGGGTCCTGAGCCGCCTCTGGGGACCCCCCCCCCCCCCCCCCTTGGCCCCCCACCGCCGGTACCGGTACCGGGGACACGGCCCCCACCGGTGACACCGGGGCTATGGGGCCGGGGGCCATGGGGGGGCTCAGAGGGGCCAAGGTGGTGCTGGGCTGGGGGGGTTCCGGAGCTGGGGGGGTCGGGGGGGGTTCTGATGGGGGGGGAAGGTCTGGGGTGGGGGGGGGGGGTGGGGGGAAGAGAGAGAGAGAGAGAGAAAGGGGGGGTTAGGGGGGAGATGGGAACAAGGGGGGCCATGGGTCACTGTGGATCCCATTGAGCCCTGTGGATCCCATTGAGCCCTGTGGATCCCATTGAGCCCTGTGGATTCCATTGATCCCTGTGGATCCCATTAATCCCTGTGGATCCTATTGATCCCTGTGGCTCCCATTGATCCCTGTGGATCCCATTGATCCCTGTGGCTCCCATTGATCCCTCTGGATCCCATTGATCCCTGTGGATTCCATTGATCCCTGTGGATCCCATTGATCCCTGTGCATCCCATTGATCCCTGTGGATCCTATTAATCCCTATGGCTCCCATTGAGCCCTCTGGATCCCATTGATCCCTGTGCATCCCATTGAGCCCTGTGTGCTCCACTGACCCCTATAGCTCCCATTGATCTCTATAACTCCCATTGATCCCTCTGGATCCCATTGATCTCTATAACTCCCATTGATCCCTCTGGATCCCATTAATCCCTCTGGATCCCATTGATCCCTGTGGCTCCCATTGATCCCTGTGGATCCCATTAATCCCTATGGCTCCCATTGATCCCTGCGGATCCCATTGATCCCTATGGCTCCCATTGATCCCTCTGGATCCCATTAATCCCTATGGCTCCTATTGATCCCTATGGCTCCCATTGAGCCCTGTGTGGTCCATTGACCCCTATGGGGCTCCCATTGATCCCTATGGGGCTCCCATTGACCCCTATGGGGCTCCATTGATCCCTATGGGGCTCCCATTGATCCCTATGGGGCTCCCATTGATCCCTATGGGGCTCCATTGATCCCTATGGGGCTCCCATTGATCCCTGTGGATCCCATTGATCCCTGTGGATCCCATTGAGCCCTGTGGATCCCATTGATCCCTGTGGATCCTATTAATCCCTCTGGATCCCATTGATCCCTATGGCTCCTGTTGATCCCTGTGGATCCCATTGATCCCTATGGCTCCCATTGACACCTGGGTGTCCCATTGATCCCTATGGCTCCTACTGACCCCTATGGCTCCCATTGACCCCTATGGCTCGAATTGATCTCTGTAACTCCCATTGACCCCTATGGCTCCCATTGCTCCCTATGGCTCCCATTTATCTCTATGGCTCCTATTGGTTCCTATGACTCTTATTGACCCCTATGGCTCCCATTGCTCCCTATGGCTCCCATTGACCGCTATGGCTCCCATTGATCCCTATAACTCCCACTGACCCCTATGGCTCCCATTGACCCCTGTGGCTCCCATTGCTCCCTATGGCTCCCATTGAGCTCTGTAACTCCCATTGACCCCTATGGCTCCCATTGATCTCTAACTCTCATTGCTCCCTATGGCTCCCATTGACCCCTATGGCTCCCATTGACCCCTATGGCTCCCATTGACCCCTACGGCTCCCATTGCTCCCTATGGCTCCTATTGACCCCTATGGCTCCCATTGATCTCTATAACTCCCATTGATCCCTATGGCTCCCATTGCTCCCTATGGCTCCCATTGCTCCCTATGGGTCCCATTGCTCCCTATGGCTCCCATTGATCCCTATGGCTCCCATTGATCTCTATAACTCCCTTTGACCCCTATGGCTCCCATTGACCCCTATGGCTCCCATTGAGCTCTGTAACTCCCATTGACCCCTATAGCCCCCATTGACCTCTATGGCTCCCATTGCTCCCTATGGCTCCTATTGACCCCTATGGCTCCCATTGATCTCTATAACTCCCATTGACCCCTATGGCTCCCATTGCTCCCTATAACTCCCATTGACCCCTATGGCTCCCATTGATCTCTATAACTCCCATTGACCCCTATGGCTCCCATTGCTCCCTATGGCTCCCATTGCTCCCTATGGCTCCCATTGATCCCTATGGCTCCCATTGATCCCTATGGCTCCCATTGACCCCTATGGCTCCCATTGACCCCTATGGCTCCCACTGACCCCTATGGCTCCCATTGATCTCTATAACTCCCATTGCTCCCTATGGCTCCTATTGGTTCCTATGGCTCTTATTGACCCCTATGGCTCCCATTGATCCCTATAACTCCCACTGACCCCTATGGGTCCCATTGACCCCTATGGCTCCCATTGACCCCTGTGGCTCCCATTGATCTCTGTAACTCCCATTGACCCCTATGGCTCCCATTGATCTCTAACTCTCATTGCTCCCTATGGCTCCTATTGACCCCTATGGCTCCCATTGATCCCTATGGCTCCCATTGATCCCTATGGCTCCCATTGCTCCCTATGGCTCCCATTGCCCCCTATAGGTCCCCATTACCCCCTATAGCCCCCCATTGCTCCCTATGGCTCCCATTGACCCCTATGGCTCCCATTGATCCCTATAACTCCCACTGACCCCTATGGCTCCCACTGACCCCTATGGCTCCCATTGATCTCTACAACTCCCATTGCTCCCTATGGCTCCTGTTGGTTCCTATGGCTCCCATTGATCTCTATGGCTCCTATTGGTTTCTATGACTCTTATTGACCCCTATAGCTCCCATTGACCCCTATGGCTCCCATTGCTCCCTATGGGTCCCATTGCTCCCTATGGCTCCCATTGCTCCCTATAGGTCCCCATTGATCCCTATGGCTCCCATTGATCCCTATGGCTCCCATTGCTCCCTATGGCTCCCATTGACCCCTATGGCTCCCATTGACCCCTATGGCTCCCATTGATCTCTATGGCTCCCACTGACCCCTATAGCTCCCATTGATCTCTATAACTCCCATTGACCCCTATGGCTCCTATTGATCTCTATGGCTCCTATTGGTTTCTATGACTCTTATTGCTCCCTATGGCTCCCATTGACCCCTACGGCTCCCACTAACCCCTATGGCTCCCATTGACCCCTACGGCTCCCATTGATCTCTATAACTCCCATTGCTCCCTATGGCTCCCTATGGCTCCCATTAACCCCTATTCCTCCCATTGCCCCCTACATCTCCCACTCCCCCCCCATTCCTCCCCATCCCCTCCCCGTCGCCGACCTTGGTGCCGCGGCGACGTCGGCTCGGCGTCGCCATCACCACCATCCACCAGCTCGGGGTCCTTGCGGTCGCTGGGGTCGTAGAGGGCCGAGATGGCCGAGGAGATGCTCTTCTGCAGGTCCTGGTTCTTGCTCACCGAATCCTCCTCGTCCGACGAGAAGGACGGCAGCGTCTCCAAGTTCCTCTTGAGTTCCTCATCCAAACGCTTGCAAGGGCTGGGGCAAGCCATGACCAATCCGTCGCCTTCGGGCCCTTCCAAGCTGCCAGCCAGGATGGGACCTCCCATTGGGAAGGGATTGGTGGTGCTGGTGGTGGTGCTGGTGGTGGTGGTGGTGCCGACGGCACCGCGGTGGCTCTTGGTGGGGCTGACGGCGCTGGGAGGCCCCGCTTGGCGCTTGCCGGCCTTGAGGAAGTCCAAGAAGGAAGCCATGAACCCCGATTTCATCTCTGGTTGCTTCTCCTCCACCTCCTTGATCTTCTGCTTGATGCGTTCCCGAGTCTGGGATGCGTCCAAAGGCACCGGTTCCGAGCCGGTGCTGGGAAGACCGGGAATGCCGAGGGAGCCTTCCGGTGGCAACGGCGCCTCCGAGCCCTTGGCCATGGCCAGTTTGAGCTGGGAGAGGGAAAAGTGGGGGGGGGCACGTGTGGGGATGAGGGGATACAGGTGAGACCCACAGCACCCATGGGTGCCCCCCCTTTCCCCAAAGGGACTCCGGTAACCCCAATATCCTCACCTTGAGGGGCTCCAACCCATCCCCACCTCCATCAGTGGGGTCTTTTGGACATCATTGGGTACCACAGCCCACAAGGAACCCCCCAACCACCCCCATATCCATCAATGTTCACCCCAATATCCCCACGTTCACCCCAATATCCCCATGCATAACCCCCAAATCCTCACCTTGATGGGCTCCAACCCATCCCCACCTCCATCAATGGGGCCTTTTGGACATCATCCATCAATGGGGTACCACACCACCCACAAGGAACCCCCCAACCACCCCCATATCCATCAATGTTCACCCCAATATCCCCACGTTCACCCCAATATCCCCATGCATAACCCCCAAATCCTCACCTTGATGGGCTCCAACCCATCCCCATCTCCATCAATGGGGCCTTTTGGACATCATTGGGTACCACAGCCCACAAGGAACCCCCCAACCACCCCCATATCCATCAATGTTCACCCAAATGTCCCCATCCAGAACCCCAAAACCCATCAAGTCCTCACCTTGATGGGCTCCAACCCATCCCCACCTCCATCAATGGGGCCTTTTGGACATCATTGGGTACCACAGCCCCCAAGGAACCCCCCAACCACCCCCATATCCATCAATGTTCACCCCAATATCCCCACGTTCACCCCAATATCCCCATGCATAACCCCCAAATCCTCAACTTGATGGGCTCGAACCCATCCCCACCTCCATCAACCACAGCCCCCAAGGAACCCCCCAACCACCCCCATATCCATCAATGTTCACCCCAATATCCCCACGTTAACCCCAATATCCCCATGAATAACCCCCAAATCCTCACCTTGATGGTCTCCAACCCATCCCCATCTCCATCAATGGGGCCTTTTGGACATCATTGGGTACCACAGCCCACAAGGAACCCCCCAACCACCCCCATATCCATCAATGTTCACCCCAATATCCTCACCTTGATGGGCTCCAACCCATCCCCACCTCCATCAATGGGGCCTTTTGGACATCATTGGGTACCACAGCCCACAAGGAACCCCCCAACCACCCCCATATCCATCAATGTTCACCCCAATATCCCCACGTTCACCCCAATATCCCTATCCAGAACCCCAAAACCCATCAAGTCCTCACCTTGATGGGCTCCAACCCATCCCCATCTCCATCAATGGGGCCTTTTGGACATCACTGGGTACCACAGCCCACAAGGAACCCCCCAACCACCCCCATATCCATCAATGTTCACCCCAATATCCCCACCTTGATGGGCTCCAACCCATCCCCATCTCCATCAATGGGGCCTTTTGGACATCATTGGGTACCACAGCCCACAAGGAACCCCCCAACCACCCCCATATCCATCAACGTTCACCCCAATATCCCCACCTTGATGGGCTCCAACCCATCCCCATCTCCATCAATGGGGCCTTTTGGACATCATTGGGTACCACAGCCCACAAGGAACCCCCCAACCACCCCCATATCCATCAATGTTCACCCCAATATCCCCACGTTCACCCCAATATCCCCATGAATAACCCCCAAATCCTCACCTTGATGGGCTCCAACCCATCCCCATCTCCATCAATGGGGCCTTTTGGACATCATTGGGTACCACAGCCCACAAGGAACCCCCCAACCACCCCCATATCCATCAATGTTCACCCCAATATCCCCATCCAGAACCCCAAAACCCATCAAGTCCTCACCTTGATGGTCTCCAACCCATCCCCACCTCCATCAATGGGGCCTTTTGGACATCATTGGGTACCACAGCCCACAAGGAACCCCCCAACCACCCCCCCATCAATCACCCCAATATCCCCACCTTGATGGGCTCCAACCCATCCCCATCTCCATCAATGGGTTGGGTACCACCCCAATCAATGTTCCCCAAATGTCCCCTTGATGGGCTCCAACCCATCCCCATCTCCATCAATGGGGCCTTTTGGACATCATTGGGTACCACAGCCCACAAGGAACCCCCCAACCACCCCCATATCCATCAGTGTTCACCCCAATATCCCCCAACGTTCACCCCAATATCCCCATCCAGAACCCCAAAACCCATCAAGTCCTTACCTTGATGGTCTCCAACCCATCGCCACCTCCATCAATGGCACATTTTGGACATCATTGGGGTACCACAGACCACAAGGGACCCCAAAACCAGCCCAACCCATCCCATATCTATCAACGTTCACCCCAATATCCCCACCTTGATGGGCTCCAACCCATCCCCATCTCCATCAATGGGGCCTTTTGGACATCATTGGGTACCACAGCCCCCAAGGAACCCCCCAACCCCACCCCACAGACACCTCACCCACCCCCCCCATGCCCCCTCACCTTGAGCGGCTTCAGCGCCTCCATCCCATTCCCATCTCCTGCCTCTTCCCCTCCCTTCCTTCCCCGGCCCCTTCCTCGCCCTCGGGGCCTCTTGGCCGCGTCGGGATGGGGCAGGAGGAGCCCGTGGGGCAACGACGGCGACGACGGCAGCGGCGGTGGTGCCGGGGGGGGTTCCGGTAAAGGCCTGATCCGGGGCCTGCCCCTCGGCCGTGGGGGTCCCTCACGCTTGGGCTTGGTGGGTTTGCGCCCGCGCTTCTTGGGCGCCGTAGGGTGGTGGTGGTGGTGGGTAGGGGCCGTAGCGGCGGCCGAAGGGAAAGCCAAAGGATCCCCGCCTGGAATGGGGCTGAGAGGAGGGGGTCGAGCCCGGCAACTCGAGATGAGGTCGGGCAAGAGGTCCGGGAGCCGACGGCTGTTGAGGCGGATGTCGGCGGGGACGTCGGCTTTGTCCTCGTCGTCCTGGAACTCGTATTCCTGCGCGTAGGTCTTTTTGGGGGGCGGGAAGGGGTCCCTCTTACGCAGGAGGTGGAAGGACGAGGTCTTGAGGAGCTTTTTGGGTTTGGAAGAGCAGAAAAGCGGCGTGGGCAGAGCCGGTTTGGTGCTCTCGGTGCCTTGGATCAAACCCAAGGGTTCCGCGTTGACCGTCGACGGCAACTCGTGTTTGGGGGGTTCCAAAGGCAGCGGCGGCGCGGCGCTCGGCGCGGCGCAGAACGAAGGGTAAGCCGGTCCCCCCATGTCGTACGGGGGAGGCTTCAAGGCGTCGCCGCGCGCCTCCAAGCCGCCGGCGCCTTCCTCTTCCTCCTCTTCCTCCGTCGCCTTGGGGAAGTCCTCCGGGGCCGGCCCGAACATGTCCTCCATGCCGGGGAAGAAGCCGCGGTCTTCGTCTTGGAGGAGAGCATCCGGGAAGCAAATGGAAGTCAAGGGCACGAAGCGGTTCTTGCCCCCCGCCGGGCTCCCCCCTTCGTTGAACTGGTCCTTGCCTTCCAACGGCGTCGCCGTCACCGATGGGGCTCCTCCATCGGGGTCCAAGAGATGCCCCGGCGGGCCTTGGACCGCTCCGGCTTGCCCTAAATGAGGTTCCAAACCCAAAGGAGGCTCCAGGAAGTCTTGGATCTCTTGAGGAGCCGGCAAGACTTCCATAGGCTCCGGCGGTAACGGCGCCGGCGGCTCTAGGCCTTGCCCGCCGCGCACGTGGGCCTGGTGCAGGTGATGGGCGTCCAAGAGCAGCTGTGGGGATGGAGCAGCCGGGGGGGCCGGTGCTGGTGGGGCTGATGGAGGCGGTGGCGGTGGAGGCGGCGGTGGAGGCGGTGGCGGCGGCATCCGTTGCTGCTCCAAGAGGTGGACGTCGAGCTGGGGCCGGGTTTTGGCGCGGGGATGGAGTTGGCTTTGGGTATGGGTGAGGACGGAGGGCAACAGAGCCGCTGCTCCCCCCGGCACCGGCCCCACTTGCACCGGTCCTAGCTCAGGGGATGGGTCTAGGAGGAGCCCATGGGGTTCCAGAGGGGGGGGTTCGGCCACCAAACGCCCGTGCTCGGGGGTCTTGGCTAAGTAACCGTGGGGCTGCCCCATGTCCTTGGCGCCGGGTTTCTTCAGCTCGTAGGAGTCCAACGCCGCCGCTTGGTGGCCGTAATGGACCACGGAGGTGGCCGCCAAGCCCTCGGCGCCGTTGCCGGTGCTCCGGTACTCCTTGCCTCGCTCCGGCTTCTTCTTCTCCTTCAAGAGCGCCAACTCCAAAGGCGCCTCCAGGTTGGAATTAGGCCGGATCACGCTCTGCAACTGGTAGCGCTCTTCCGCCTTGGCCAAGGCTCCGTAACCCGTCGCCATGCTCTTGGCGCCGGCGCCGCGCTCCTCGCAGCCGCCCCCTAAGGGCTCCCCCCTCGATGGGGGGCTAGGGGCCTGCAGGAGGTGCTGGATCAAGAAGTCCTCATCCTCGCTCCGCTCGGCACCCAACAACTCGGCGTCCCCTTTGGTGCCTTTGCCGAAGGCCGGAGCCCGCTCCACGGCCGCCGGGGCCGGCGCCGTGCCCGGTGTCGTCGTTCCTCCACCTCCACCTCCTCCTCCACCTCCTCCTCCTCCTCCTCCTCCTCCTGCTGCTCCCGTGCCGTATCCCGGTGCCATAAAGGAGGGCGAGAGCACGGAGCCCAGGTACTTCTGGGATTGCCCCGGCGAGCTCCGCGCCGCCGGCGGCGACTGCAAGGGCCGGATGCTGGGAGCGGGGCTATAGGGAAGCGGCGCCGGCACGGCCGGGGAATGCCCGGTGCTATAGGACAAAGACCCCACTTCCGCCTGCACCCCATAGGGAAGAGCTTGGAGCTGCTCCGGCGAGAAGCCTTGGCCTTGCCCCACGCAAGCCGGGCCCCCGCTTTGCCCCCCGGCGCTTGGGGGGGGGGGGTACCCGGTGCCTTTGCCCCCCAAGTCACCGCCGCCGCCGCTGCCGCCGCCGCCACCGGTGCTCGCGGTGCTGCTGAAGCCGGAACCGGCTTGCGGCGGCGGCGGCGGCGCGGTGCTGGCCCCATAACCAGCCCCCGGCCCCAGAGCCAAGGGGGAATAGGCCGGGGAATGGCTGGAGATGACGGAGCTGGCTTTGGGGGTGCTGGTGCTGAAGCTGCTTTGGCACTTGGGGGTGGCGGTGGAGCGCGGCGTCTGCCTCGCCGCCGAGTAGCTCTTGGATTTGGCGCCGTTGGTGCCGTTGGCGCCGTTGCCTCCGGAATAAGCCGGCGATTGGATGATGGGTCGGTAACTGGGCGCCGGCTCCGGACGCGGCACCACGGCACCGCCTTTGCCCGCCTGTTGGGTGGCTTCGGCGCTGCCGGGGCTCTGCTCGCCCAAAGGGCTGCAAGCCAAAGCCCCGCCGCGGTGAGGGGGCATCTGTTGGTAGCTCCCCCCGCAGCTGAGGTAATGCTGGAGGCCGTGGGCTTGGGCAGCGCCGGGGCGTTGGTAGTGCTTGATGACGCTGTCCTGGCGCGGCACGGCGCGTTCGCCGGCGCCGCCGAACACGGAGGCGTTGTAGAGCTGCGCCGGTTGCTCGGCCAAAGGCGCCGAGAGGAGGTTGAACTGAGAGGCGCCGGCAGCGCCGCGGTAAGCGGGGCTCTGCGCCGGTAACGCCGAGCCCAGCACCGCGGTGCCCAAGCGTTCGAAGCCCAACGCCGGCGGCGGTGGAGGAGGAGGAGGAGGCGGTGGAGGAGGAGGAGGCGGCGGCACCGGGGCTTGAGCCGGTTTGATGTGAAGCAAGGGGTCGTGGGGGGAAAGGAGGCCGTTGGAACCGGGGCTGAAGGGAGGCTCCGGGAGCGTGAGGGCAGAGCTCACCGGGAAGCTCCGTGCCGGGAACGGGGCCGGGTGTTGGTAAGCGCCGAGGGCGGATGAAGCCGGGAAGGTGCCGGAACCGGGAAGGGCGCCCGAGATGAAGAGTTCGGCCGGTGCTGGGGTGTGCATGGCTGGGGGGGACAATGGGGGGGGGAATGGGGTTAGAGGGGGTGGGGGGTAATGGGGGGCGTTATGGGGGGCATGGGGGTATTGGGGGATATGGGGGGTATTGAGGTATATGGGGGGAATGGGGTATATAGGGGGGAATGGGGTATATAGGGGGTATTGGGGTATACGGGGGGTATAGGGGTATATGGGGGGAATGGGGGGCATTGGGGTATTGGGGGATATGGGGGGTATTGGGGTATATGGGGGGCATTGGGGTATATGGGGGGGAATGGGGTATATAGGGGGGGTAATGGGGTATATAGGGGGTATTGGGGTATATGGGGGGAATGGGGGGCATTGGGGTATTGGGGGATATGGGGGGTATTGGGGTATATGGGGGGCATTGGGGTATATGGGGGGTAATGGGGTATATAGGGGGTATTGGGGTATATGGGGGGGTAATGAGGGGTATTGGGGTATATGGGGGGGTATTGGGGGCTAATGGGGTATATGGGGGGTAATGAGGGGTATTGGGGTATAAGGAGGGCATTGGGGTATATGGGGGTTAATGAATGGGGGGTATTGAGGTATGGGGGGGTATTGGGGTATATGGGGGGTATATGGGAGGCATTGGGGTATATGGGGGGGTAATGGGGGGCATTGGGGTATATGGGGGGGTAATGGGGGGTATTGGGGTATATGGGGGGTAATGGGGGGCATTGGGGTATATGGGGGGTAATGGGGGGTATGGGGATATATAGGGGGGATTGGGGGGGATTGGGGTATATGGGGGGTAATGAGGGGTATTGGGGTATATGGGGGGTATTGGGGTATATGGGGGTTAATGAATGGGGGGTAATGGGGTTTAATGGGGGGTAATGGGGTTTAATGGGGTGCTAATGGGGGTTAATGGGGTTATAATGGGGGAATGGGGGATAATGGGGGTTTAATGGGGTTATAATGGGGGATAATGGGGTTATAATGGGGTTATAATGGGGGGTAATGGGGGTAATGGGGTTTAATGGGGTTATAATGGGGGTTTAATGGGGGGTAATGGGGTTATAATGGGGGATAATGGGGTTTAATGGGGGATAATGGGGTTATAATGGGGTTATAATGGGGGATAATGGGGTTTAATGGGGGATAATGGGGTTATAATGGGGGTAATGGGGTTCAATGGTGTTTAATCGGGGTAATGGGGTTATAATGGGGGGTAATGGGGTTATAATGGGGTTATAATGGGGGTAATGGGGTTTAATGGGGTTATAATGGGGGATAATGGTGTTATAATGGGGGGAATGGGGGGTAATGGGGAATAATGGGGGTAATGGGGTTATAATGGGGTTTAATGGGGTTATAATGGGGGATAATGGGGGATAATGGGGGATAATGGGGGATAATGGGGTTATAATGGGGGAATGGGGGCTAATGGGGTTATAATGGGGGTTAATGGGGGGTAATGGGGTTATAATGGGGGTTAATGGGGTTTAATGGGGGATAATGGGGTTATAATGGAGGGTAATGGGGGATAATGGGGTTTAATGGGGTTATAATGGGGGTTAATGGGGTTCAATGGGGTTATAATGGGGTTTCAATGGGGCTCAATGGGCTCATCCAAGGGGTCACGTGGCCTCCCCAAAGGGGCGGGGCTTGCGGGGGGGGGGTGGGGGCGGGGCTTACCACATCCTCCCCTCTGATTGGCAGCTCCTGGACCTGCCCCCGGCCCCGCCCACCTCCGCCATCCACGTCCGGGTCACGTGGGCGCGGGGCCCCGCCTCCGCCGAGCTCACCCTCCAATCAGGTGCGAGGCCACGCCCCCTTCCCCTCCCCATCCAATCACGTTAAGCCCCGCCCCCCTTAAAGCTCCTCCCATTCCCCACTTCATCCAATCGCTTTAAGCCCCCGCCCCTTTAAGCTCCGCCCATTCCCCCACTTCGGCCAATCGCTTTAAGGTCCGCCCCCTCCAATCCCGTTAAACCCCGCCCCTTTAAGCCCCACCCCTTCCCCCTTCATCCAATTGCCTTAAGCCCCGCCCCCTTTAAGCCCCACCCCCCTTCGTCCCCTTTATCCAATCGCTTTAAGCCCCGCCCCCTTTAAGCTCTGCCCCCCCTGCGTCCAATCACGTTACGCCCCGCCTCCCTTTAAGCCCCGCCCCTTCCCCCCTTGTCCAATCGCTTTAAGCCCCGCGCCCCATTCCCCCTTGTCCAATTGCCCCGCCCCATTCCCCCACAATCGTCCAAACGCTTTAAGCTCCGCCCCCTCCAATCCCGTTAAACCCCCCTTAAGCTCCGCCCCCTTCGTCCAATCACGTTAAGCCCCGCCCCTTTAAGCCCCGCCCCCTTTCCCCATCCAATCGTTTTAAGCTCCGCCCCTTCTCCCTCATCCAATCGCGTTAAGCCCCGCCCCCTTTAAACCCCGCCCTTTCCCATCTTCGTCCAATCGCTTTAAGCCCCGCCCCCTTTAAGGCCCGTCCATTAGCGTTAAGCCCCGCCCCCTTTAAGCTCTGCCCCTTCCCCATTCGTCCAATCGCTTTAAGGCCCTGCCTCCTTTAAGCTCCGCCCATTCCCCCCACTTCATCCAATCGCTTTAAGCTCCGTCCCCTCCAATCCCGTTAAACCCCGCCCCTTTAAGCTCCGTCCCCCCTTGTCCAATCATGTTAAGCCCCGCCCCTTTAAGCCCCACCCCTTCCCCCGTCCAATCGTTTTAAGCTCCGCCTTCTCCCTCATCCAATCGCGTTAAGCCCCGCCCCTTTAGGCCCCAGCAATCGCTGTAAGCCCCGCCCCCTTTAAGCCCCGCCCCCTCCCCATTACGTTAAGCCCCGCCCCTTTAAGCTCCGCCCCTTCCCCATTCATCCAATCGTTTTAAGCACCGCCCCCTTTAAGCTCCGCCCCCCCTTGTCCAATCACATTAAGCCCCGCCCCCTTTAAACCCCGCCCTTCCCAGCTTCGTCCAATCGCTTTAAGCACCGCTCCTTTAAGCTCCGCCCCTTCTCCCTCTTCCAATCACGTTAAGCCCCGCCCCTCCCCCCTTCGTCCATTAGCGTTAAGCCCCGCCCCCTTTAAGCCCCGCCCCTTCCCCATCACGTTAAGCCCCACCCCTTTAAGCTCCGCCACTTCTCCCTCATCCAATCACGTTAAGCCACGCCCCCTTAAGCCACGCCCCTTTCCCTCTTTGTCCAATCGCTTTAATCCCCACCCCCTTCCCCATCACGTTAAGCCCCACCCCCTTTCCGCCCCCCCTCTTGTCCAATTGCTTTAAGACCCACCCCATTTAAGCTCCGCCCCTTCCCCCTTTCACCCAATCGCTTTAATCCCTGCCCCCTTTAAGCTCCGCCCCTTCCCTCTCTTTGTCCAATCGCTTTAAGCCCCGCCCCCTTTAAGCTCCGCCCCCTCTTCCCTAGGCGAGAAAGAGGCCTGGTGGCAGCAGCCAATCGCAGCGCGGGAGCTGTTCTGGTAAGCCCCGCCCCCCCCTTTACAACACCATATATGGAAAAGGGGGGTGTGGTTTGAAGTGGCCACGCCCCCTTTTTTCCATGCCCATATATGGCAGGCCGGAAGTGGGCGTGGCCGAGGCGGGGCTGCTGCAGGAGCAGGTTCAATGGTGCCGGGAGCTGCGGGAGCTGGAGCCCCACAGCAGGGGTGAGGCCTATGGGGCGCCCCATAGATCCCTATGGGCCCCATTGATCCCTATGGGAGCCCCATTGATCCCTATGGGTGCCCCATTGATCCCTATGGGAGCCCCATTGATCCCTATGGGTGCCCCATTGATCCCTATTGGTGCCCCATTGATCCCTATGGGCGCCCCATAGATCCCTATGGGCCCCATTGATCCCTATGGGCCCCATTGATCCCTATGGGCGCCCCATTGATCCCTATGGGTGCCCCATTGATCCCTATGGGTGCCCCATTGATCCCTATGGGCGCCCCATTGATCCCTATGGGTGCCCCATTGATCCCTATGGGAGCCCCATTGATCCCTATGGGTGCCCCATTGATCCCTATGGGAGCCCCATTGATCCCTATGGGAGCCCCATTGATCCCTATGGGCGCCCCATTGATCCCTATGGGCGCCCCATTGATCCCTATGGGCGCCCCATAGATCCCTATGGGTGCCCTATAGATCCCTATGGGTGCCCCATTGATCCCTATGGGTGCCCTATAGATCCCTATGGGTGCCCCATTGATCCCTATGGGAGCCCCATTGATCCCTATGGGCGCCCCATTGATCCCTATGGGTGCCCTATAGATCCCTATGGGCCCCATTGATCCCTATGGGCGCCCCATTGATCCCTATGGGTGCCCCATTGATTCCTATGGGCGCCCCATTGATCCCTATGGGTGCCCCATTGATCCCTATGGGAGCCCCATGGATCCCTATGGGTGCCCTATAGATCCCTATGGGTGCCTCATTGATCCCTATGGGTGCCCCATAGATCCCTATGGGAGCCCCATTGATCCTATGGGGCTCCCCACTGATCCTATGGGTGCCCCACTGATTCTATGGGGCTCCCCACTGATCCTATGGGGCGCCCCACTGATTCTATGGGGCTCCCCACTGATCCTATGGGGCGCCCCACTGATTCTATGGGAGCCCCACTGATCCTATGGGGCACCCCACTGATTCTATGGGGCGCCCCACTGATCCTATGGGGCACCCCACTGATTCTATGGGGCGCCCCACTGATTCTATGAGGCACCCCACTGATTCTATGGGGCATCCCACTGATTCTATGGGGCTCCCCACTGATTCTATGGGGCGCCCCAGTGATTCTATGGGGCACCCCACTGATTCTATGGGGCACCCCACTGATTCTATGGGGCACCCCACTGATTCTATGGGGCACCCCACTGAAGCGAATGGGCCCCCCACATGAAACTATGGGGCACCCCACTGATCCTATGGGGCACCCCACTGGGATTCTATGGGGCGCCCCACTGATTCTATGGGGCGCCCCACTGACCCCTATGGCGCGCCCCACTGATCCTATGGGGCGCCCCACTGATTCTATGGGGCGCCCCACTGATTCTATGGGGCACCCCACTGATTCTATGGGGCACCCCACTGATTCTATGGGGTACCCCACTGACCCCTATGGGGCACCCCACTGATTCTATGGGGCTCCCCATTGATCCTATGGGGTGCCCCACTGATTCTATGGGACCCCCACTGATTCTATGGGACCCCCACTGATTCTATGGGGCACCCCACTGATTCTATGGGGCGCCCCACTGATCCTATGGGGCTCCCCACTGATTCTATGGGGCTCCCCACTGATCCTATGGGGCGCCCCACTGATTCTATGGGGCGCCCCACTGATCCTATGGGGCGCCCCACTGATTCTATGGGGCGCCCCACTGATCCTATGGGGCACCCCACTGATTCTATGGGGCACCCCACTGATTCTATGGGGTGCCCCACTGATTCTATGGGGCACCCCACTGATCCTATGGGGCCCCCCACTGATTCTATGGGGCGCCCCACTGATTCTATGGGGTGCCCCACTGATTCTATGGGGCACCCCACTGACCCCTATGGGGCGCCCCACTGATTCTATGGGGCACCCCACTGATCCTATGGGGCACCCCACTGATCCTATGGGGCGCCCCACTGATTCTATGGGGTACCCCACTGATTCTATGGGGCACGGCACTGATTCTATGGGGCACCCCACTGGTTCTATGGGGCGCCCCACTGATCCTATGGGGCGCCCCACTGATTCTATGGGGCACCCCACTGATTCTATGGGGCACCCCACTGATTCTATGGGGCGCCCCACTGATCCTATGGGGCACCCACTGATTCTATGGGGCGCCCCACTGATTCTCTGGGGCGCCCCACTGATTCTCTGGGGCGCCCCACTGACCCCTATGGGGCGCCCCACTGATCCTATGGGGCACCCCACTGATTCTATGGGGCGCCCCACTGATCCTATGGGGCACCCCACTGATTCTATGGGGCGCCCCACTGATTCTATGGGGCACCCCACTGATTCTATGGGGCTCCCCACTGATTCTATGGGGCGCCCCACTGATTCTATGGGGCACCCCACTGATTCTATGGGGCACCCCACTGATTCTATGGGGCGCCCCACTGATTCTATGGGGCGCCCCACTGATTCTATGGGGCGCCCCATAGGCTGCCTGCTGGCCCTGGCGCTGCTGCTCTGGGCCCTGGAGCCGCTGGAGCACGAGGAGGAGACGCGGAGCTGCCTGAAGGAGCTGCAGGTGGGACCAGTATAAACCAGTATAGACCAGTATGGACCAGTATGGACCAGTATGGAATAGTATGGACCAGTATAAACCAGTATGGACCAGTATGAACCAGTATAGATCTATATGGACCCTTATGGTCCAGGACCAGTATGGACCAATATAAACCAGTAGGGACCAGTATAAACCAGTATAGACCAGTAGGGACCAGTATAGACCAGTATGGACCAGTATAGACCAGCAGGGACCAGTATAGATCTGTATGGTCCAATATGGTCCAGAACCAGTATAGACCAGTATGGACCAGTATAAGCCAGTATGGACCAGTATAGACCGGTATGGACCAGTATAGACCAGTAGGGACCAGTATAGATGAAAACCAGTATGGACCAGTATAAACCAGTATGGACAACATAGACTAGTACAGACCAGTATAGACCAGTATAAACCAGCCCAAACCAGTATAAACCAGTTCAAACCAGTCCAAACCAACCCAAACCAGTCCAAACCAGTTCAAACCAGTCCAAACCAGTCCAAACCAGTATAAACCAGTCCAAACCAGTCCAAACCAGTTCAAACCAGTTCAAACCAGTTCAAACCAGTCCAAACCAGTCCAAACCAACCCAAACCAACCCAAACCAGTCCAAACCAACCCAAACCAGTCCAAACCAGTATAAACCAGTATAAACCAGTATAAACCAGTATAAACCAGTCCAAACCAGTCCAAACCAGTATAAACCAGTACAAACCAGTTCAAACCAGTTCAAACCAGTATAAACCAGTACAAACCAGTTTAAACCAGTTCAAACCAGTCCAATCCAGTTCAAACCAGTCCAAACCAGTATAAACCAGTACAAACCATAGAGCCCAATGGCCCCCATTCCCCCCCCATAGCCTCTAAGGGGAGGAGAAAGGGAGGAGGGGGGCGTGGCCTAACGTGGCTCCGCCCCCCTTATTGCCCTTATAAGGCAGCGGACCCGCTGAGGCGGGGCTTCGTCAGCGATGCTGCGTCCCGATTGGAGGTGGCGGCGGCGCTGCTGCGCAGGGGGGCGGGGCCTGAAGGGGAGCTCCGCCTCCGAGGGAAGGTGGGCGGGGCTTAAGGGGGTGGGAGGGGCTTAAAGGGGTGGGAGGGGGTTAAAGGGGGTGGGAGGGGCTTAAAGGGGGTGGGAGGGGCTTAAAGGGGGGGAGGGGGTTAAAGGGGGTGGGAGGGGGTTAAAGGGGGTGGGAGGGGCTTAAAGGGGTGGGAGGGGCTTAAGGGGGGTGGGAGGGGCTTAAAGGGGTGGGAGGGGGTTAAAGGGGTGGGAGGGGGTTAAAGGGGGTGGGAGGGGCTTAAAGGGGAGGGGCTTGAAGGGATGGGAGGGGCTTAAAGGGAGAGAGATTTAAAGGGGCGGGGCTTAAAGGGGTGGGAGGGGGTTAAAGGGGAGGGGCTTAAAGTGGGAGGGGCTTAAAGAGAGGGATTTTAAAGGGGAGGGGCTTAAAGGGGTGGGAGGGGCTTGGAGGGGTGGGGGCTTGAAAGGAGGGCGGAGGGGCTTGGGTGGGAGGGGGTTTAAAGGGGAGGGGCTTAAAGGGGGAGGGGAGGGGTTGGGGGCGGGGCTTAATGGGTGGGGCTTTAAAGGGGGCGTGGCTTGAGGTGAATGAGTTGCTTAAAGGGGCGGGGCTTATTGGGGGCGGGGCTTAAGGGGGCGGGGCTTAATGAATTGGGAAGGGTTTGAAGGGGGGTGGCTTGAGGTGAATGGGGGCTTTGAAGGGGAGATGGGGTGCTTGGGGTGGGGGTGGGGCTTAAAGGGGGCGGGGCTTAATGAATGTGAAGGGTTTAAAGGGGCGGGGCTTGTGGTGAGTGTGGGGCTTAAAGAGGCGGGGTTGGGCCTCAATGGGCGGAGCTCGGGGTGGGAGGGGCTTAAAGGGGGCGGGGCTTAGTGTGTGGGAGGGGCTTAAAGGGGGCGGTGCTTAATGCATGGGTAGAGCTTTAAAGGGGCGGAGCTTGGGGTGGGAGGGGCTTAAAGGGGGCGGGGCTTGTAATGAGCGTGGGGCTTAGAGCGGGGTTGGGCCTAAAGAGGCGGAGCTTGGGGTGGGAGGGGCTTAAAGGGGGCGGGGCTTAGTGTGTGGGAAGGGCTTAAGGGGGCGTGGCTTATGGGGTGGGAGGCTTTAAAGGGGCAGAGCTTGGAGTGGGAGGGGCTTAAAGGGGGCGGTGCTTAATGCATGGGTAGAGCTTTAAAGGGGCGGAGCTTGAGGTGGGAGGGGCTTAAGGGGGCGTGGCTTATGGGGTGGGAGGGGCTTAAAGGGGGCGGGGCTTATGGGGTGGGAGGGTTTAAAGGGGCAGAGCTTGGGGTGGGAGGGGCTTAAAGGGGGTTTGAAAGGGGATAAAGGGGCGGGGTTTGGAGGGGGGGCGTGGCTTGATTTGGCTCCGCCCCCTGCAGGCGCTGACGTCACTTCCCCTGCTGGAGCACCTGACCCTGGTGCCCCACCTGGACCTGGCCCACAACGGCCTCGGGGGGCTCCCGGCAGCCATGGGGGCCCTGCGGCGCCTCAAGGTGGGGAGCTGTGGGGCTCTATGGGGTGTCTATGGGGCGCTATGGGGTGCTATGGGGCGCTATAGGGGTCTATGGGGCTCTATAGGGCTCTATGGGGTGTCTATGGGGCTCTATGGGGTGCTATGGGGGCTCTATGGGGCGCTATGGGGCTCTATAGGGGTCTATGGGGGGTCTGTGGGGTCCCTATGGGGGCTCTATGGGGGGCTCCCGGCAGCCATGGGGGCCCTGCGGCGCCTCAAGGTGGGGAGATATGGGGCAGCTATGGGGGGTCTATAGGGGTCTATGGGGTGGCTGTGGGGTGCTATGGGGCTCTATAGGGGTCTATGGGGCTCTATAGGGGTCTATGGGGGGTCTATGGGGTGTCTGGCAATGGGGCTCTATGGGGGTCTATGGGGCGCTGTGGGGTGGCTGTGGGTCTCTATGGGGGATCTATGGGGTGCCTATGAGGGGATATGGGGGGTCTATGGGGGTCTATAGGGGTCCTATGGGGTGTTTGGGGGGGCTGTGGGGTCCTATGGGGGTCTATGGGGCGCTATGGGGGGATATGGGGGTCTATGGGGTGGCTATGGGGCGCTATGGGGTGCTATGGGGTGGCTATGGGGCTATGGGGGTGGGGCGCTATGGGGTGTCTATGGGGTGTCTATGGGGTGCTATGGGGGGGGTCTATGGGGTGGCTATGGGGGTCTATGGGGCTCTATAGGGGTCTATGGGGTGCTACGGGGTGTCTATGTGGGTATATGGGGGGTTATAGGGGTCTATGGGGGGTCTGTGAGGTGTCTGTAGGGGTCTATGGGGATCTATGGGGTGTCTATGGGGTGTCTATGGGGTGATATGGGGTGTCTATGGGGTGGCTGTGGGGTGCTATAGGGGGTCTATGGGGGGATATGGAGGGTTATAGGGGTCTATGGGGGGTCTGTGGGGTCCCTATGGGGGTCTATGGGGGGCTCCCAGCATCCATGGGGGCCCTGTGGCGCCTCAAGATGGGGGTCTATGGGGCGCTATGGGGCACTATTGGGTGCTATGGGGTGTCTATGGGGGGATAGGGGGGTCTATGGGGTCTCTATGGCTCCCTATGGCTCCCTATGGGTCCCTATGGGTCCCTGTGGGTCTCTATGGGGTCTCTATGGGTCCCTATGGGTCTCTATGGGGTCTCTATGGGTCTCTATGGGGTCTCTATGGGGTCTCTATGGGTCTCTATGGGTCTCTATGGGTCTCTCTATGGGTCTCTATGGGTCTCTATGGGTTTCTATGGGTCTCTATGGGGTCTCTATGGGGTCTCTATGGGTCTCTATGGGTCTCTATGGGTCTCTCTATGGGTCTCTATGGGGTCTCTATGGGGCTCTATGGGGGCTCTATGGGGTCTCTATGGGTCTCTATGGGTCTCTATGGGGTCTCTATGGGGTCTCTATGGGTCTCTATGGGTCTCTATGGGTCTCTATGGGGTCTCTATGGGGTCTCTATGGATCTCTATGGGTCTCTATGGGGTCTCTATGGGTCTCTATGGGTCTCTATGGGGTCTCTATGGGTCTCTATGGGTCCCTATGGGTCTCTATGGGTCCCTGGCCCCATTGCAGGTGCTGGACGTGGCCCACAACCGGCTCCGGAGCCTTCAGGGCTTCCCCCCCCTGCCTTGGCTGGAGGAGCTGGGGCTGGAGGGGAACCGTAAGTTATGGGGCACTATGGGGTGGATATGGGGCTCTATGGGGTGGATATGGGGCTCTATGGGGGGGCTATGGGGCGCTATGGGGTGGGTATGGGGAGGGTATGGGGCACTATGGGGTGCTATGGGGCGGCTATGGGGAGGCTATGGGGCACTATGGGGCGCTATGGGGCGCTATGGGGTGCTATGGGGGGCTATGGGGCTCTATGGGGTGCTATGGGCGCTATGGGGGGCTATGGTGGGCTATGGGGCGCTATGGGGGGCTATGGGGCGCTATGGGGGGCTATGGGGCAGCTAAGGGGCTGTATGGGGCGGATATGGGGTGCTATGTGGTGCTATGGGGTGCTATGGGGCGGCTATGGGGTGCTATAGGGTGGCTATGGGGCGCTATGGGGCGCTATGGGGCTCTATGGGGCAGATATGGGGCGCTATGTGGTGCTATGGGGCGCTATGGGGCGGCTATGGGGCGCTATGGGGCGCTATGGGGCGGCTATGGGGCGGCTATGGGGCGCTATGGGGCGGCTATGGGGCGCTATGGGGCGGCTATGGGGCGGCTATGGGGCGCTATGGGGCGCTATGGGGCTCTGTGGGGCAGATATGGGGCGCTATGTGGTGCTATGGGGCGCTATGGGGGGGCTATGGGGCGCTATGGGGCGCTATGTGGTGCTATGGGGTGCTATGTGGTGCTATGGGGCGGCTATGGGGTGCTATGGGATGGATATGGGGCTCTATGGGGCAGCTATGGGGTCTATGGGGCGGATATGGGGCGCTATGTGGTGCTATGGGGAGCTGTGGGGCAGCTATGGGGCGCTATGGGGCAGTTATGGGGCATTATGGGGGGGCTATGGGGTGCTATGGGGGGCCTATGGGGTGCTATGGTGTGGATATGGGGCGGCTATGGGGAGGCTATGGGGCGGATATGGGGCGCTATGTGGTGCTATGGGGTGCTATGGTGGGGGCTATGGGGTGCTATGGGGGGGATATGGGGTGCTATGGGGCGGCTATGGGGCAGCTATGGGGCACTATGGGGTGCTATGGGGCACTGTTGGCGCTATGGGGCGCTATGGGGCTCTATGGGGCTCTATGGGGCGGCTATGGGGTGCTATGGGGGGGATATGGGGCGCTATGGGGTGGATATGGGACTCTATTGGGCAGCTATGGGGCTCTATGGGGCAGATATGGGGCGCTATGTGGTGCTATGGGGCACTATGGGGCGGCTATGGGGCGGCTATGGGGTGGCTATGGAGCTCTATGGGGTAGCTATGGGGCTCTATGGGGCAGCTATGGGGCTCTATGGGGCGGCTATGGGGCGCTATGGGGCTATAATGGGTCTCAATGGGGTTCAATGGTTCTCAATGGCACCCTCCGAAGGGGGCGTGTCTTGCGGGCTGGGTGGGCGTGTCCTTCCCCCCTCTGACCCCGCCCCTTCCCCCCCCCCATCCAGCCCTCGACCACGCCTCCGCCCTCTCGCCATTGGCCGCCTGCCCCCGCCTCGCTCGCCTCCGATTGGCCGGCACGCCGCTCGCCTCCGCCCCCGGCGCCGCCCACCACGTGGGGCTCCTCCTGCCCGGCGTTGACGTCAGCTGGGGCTGAGCGTGGCCACGCCCCCTCCACCCATTGGCCACGCCCCCCATTGGCCACGCCCCCTTGGTCCCTCCATTGGCCACGCCCCCTCCTCCCTTTGCCCCCCCTTTCCTTTGGCCACGCCCCCTCCCTTTGGCCACGCCCCCTCTTCTCTTTGGCCACGCCCCCCCCCGTCTTAAAGGGGCCGCAGCGAATTAAAGTGGTGGCCAATGGGGCCCAATGCATCTCAATGGGGCTCAGTGGGTCGCAATGGGGCTCAATGGGGCTCAGTGGGTCGCAATGGGGCTAAATGGGTCCCTATGGGGCTCAATGGGGCTCAATGGGGCTCAGTGGGTCGCAATGGGGCTCAGTGGGTCCCTATGGGGCTCAATGGGGCTCAATAGGGCTCAGTGGGGCTCTATGGGGCTCAATGGGTCGCAGTGGGTTGCAATGGGGCTCAGTGGGTCCCTATGGGGCTCAGTGGGTCGCAATGGGGCTCTATGGGGCTCAATGGGTCGCAATGGGGCTCAGTGGGGCTCAGTGGGTCGCAATGGGGCTCAGTGGGTCGCAATGGGGCTCAGTGGGTCGCAATGGGGCTCAATGGGGCTCAATGGGTCCCTATGGGGCTCAGTGGGTCGCAATGGGGCTCAATGGGTCGCAATGGGGCTCAGTGGGGCTCAGTGGGTCGCAATGGGGCTCAGTGGGTCCCTATGGGGCTCAATGGGGCTCAATGGGGCTCAATGGGTCCCTATGGGGCTCAGTGGGGCTCAGTGGGTCGCAATGGGGCTCAGTGGGTCGCAATGGGTCACAATGGGGCTCAATGGGGCTCAATGGGGCTCAGTGGGTCTCAATGGGTCCCTATGGGGCTCAATGGGGCTCAGAGGGTCGCAATGGGGCTCAGTGGGGCTCAGTGGGTCTCAATGGGGCTCAGTGGGGCTCAGAGGGTCGCAATGGGGCTCAATGGGTCGCAATGGGGCTCAGTGGGGCTCAATGGGTCGCAATGGGGCTCAGTGGGTCTCAATGGGGCTCAGTGGGTCCCTATGGGGCTCAATGGGGCTCAGTGGGTCGCAATGGGGCTCAGTGGGTCACAGTGGGTCCCAATGGGGCTCAATGGGTCTCAGTGGGTTGCAATGGGGCTCAGTGGGTCACAATGGGTCTCAATGGGTCCCTATGGGGCTCAGTGGGTCGCAATGGGGCTCTATGGGGCTCAATGGGGCTCAGTGGGTTGCAATGGGGCTCAGTGGGTCACAGTGGGTCCCAGTGCATCCCAATGGGTCCCAGTTCATCCCAGTGCTCCCAGTTCCCATTCATCCCAATGGATCCCATTCATCCCAATGGATCCCATTCATCCCAGTGCTCCCAGTTCATCCCAGTGCTCCCAGTTCCCATTCATCTCAATGGATCCCATTCATCCCAATGGGTCCCATTCATCCCAATGGATACCATTCATCCCAATGGGTCCCAGTTCATCCCAGTGCTCCCAGTTCATCCCAATGGATCCCATTCATCCCAATGGATCCCAGTTCATCCCAGTGCTCCCAGTTCCCATTCATCCCAATGGATCCCATTCATCCCAATGGGTCCCATTCATCCCAATGGGTCCCAGTTCATCCCAGTGCTCCCAGTTCCCATTCATCCCAATGGGTCCCATTCATCCCAATGGGTCCCATTCATCCCAATGGATCCCAGTTCATCCCAGTGCTCCCAGTTCCCATTCATCCCAATGGATCCCATTCATCCCAATGGGTCCCAGTTCATCCCAGTGCTCCCAGTTCATCCCAGTGCTCCCAGTTCCCATTCATCCCAATGGATCCCATTCATCCCAATGGGTCCCATTCATCCCAATGGGTCCCAGTTCATCCCAGTGCTCCCAGTTCCCATTCATCCCAATGGGTCCCATTCATCCCAATGGGTCCCATTCATCCCAATGGATCCCAGTTCATCCCAGTGCTCCCAGTTCCCATTCATCCCAATGGGTCCCATTCATCCCAATGGATCCCATTCATCCCAATGGATCCCAGTTCATCCCAATGGGTCCCAGTTCATCCCAGTGCTCCCAGTTCATCCCAGTGCTCCCAGTTCCCATTCATCCCAATGGATCCCATTCATCCCAATGGATCCCATTCATCCCAGTGCTCCCAGTTCATCCCAGTGCTCCCAGTTCCCATTCATCCCAATGGATCCCATTCATCCCAATGGGTCCCAGTTCATCCCAGTGCTCCCAGTTCCCATTCATCCCAATGGATCCCATTCATCCCAATGGATCCCATTCATCCCAATGGGTCCCAGTGCATCCCAGTGCTCCCAGTTCCCATTCATCCCAATGGATCCCATTCATCCCAATGGATCCCAGTTCATCCCAGTGCTCCCAGTTCCCATTCATCCCAATGGATCCCATTCATCCCAATGGGTCCCAGTTCATCCCAGTGCTCCCAGTTCATCCCAGTGCTCCCAGTTCCCATTCATCCCAATGGATCCCATTCATCCCAATGGATCCCATTCATCCCAGTGGGTCCCATTCATCCCAATGGATCCCAGTGCATCCCAGTGCATCCCAGTGCTCCCAGTTCCCATTCATCCCAATGGGTCCCAGTTCATCCCAGTGCTCCCAGTTCATCCCAGTGCTCCCAGTTCCCATTCATCCCAATGGGTCCCATTCATCCCAATGGGTCCCAGTGCATCCCAGTGCTCCCAGTTCCCATTCATCCCAATGGATCCCATTCATCCCAATGGATCCCAGTGCTCCCAGTTCATCCCAGTGCTCCCAGTTCCCATTCATCCCAATGGATCCCATTCATCCCAATGGGTCCCATTCATCCCAATGGGTCCCAGTTCATCCCAGTGCTCCCAGTTCATCCCAGTGCTCCCAGTTCCCATTCATCCCAATGGATCCCATTCATCCCAATGGGTCCCATTCATCCCAATGGGTCCCAGTGCATCCCAGTGCTCCCAGTTCATCCCAGTGCTCCCAGTTCCCATTCATCCCAATGGGTCCCATTCATCCCAATGGGTCCCATTCATCCCAATGGATCCCAGTTCATCCCAGTGCTCCCAGTTCCCATTCATCCCAATGGGTCCCATTCATCCCAATGGATCCCATTCATCCCAATGGATCCCAGTTCATCCCAATGGGTCCCAGTTCATCCCAATGGGTCCCAGTGCATCCCAGTGCTCCCAATTCATCCCAGTGCTCCCAGTTCCCATTCATCCCAATGGGTCCCATTCATCCCAATGGATCCCATTCATCCCAATGGATCCCATTCATCCCAATGGGTCCCAGTGCATCCCAGTGCTCCCAGTTCCCATTCATCCCAATGGATCCCATTCATCCCAATGGGTCCCAGTTCATCCCAGTGCTCCCAGTTCCCATTCATCCCAATGGATCCCATTCATCCCAATGGATCCCATTCATCCCAATGGGTCCCAGTTCATCCCAGTGCTCCCAGTTCATCCCATTCCCCCCCCCTTTCCCTCTTGCATCATCCGGACGCATCCATTTCAACACCGTGGGGCGGGACCTATGGGGCTGGGGTTGGATTGCGCCATCTGCCCCACTGCCAAATAGTGAGCCATAGCCCTCAATGGGGCTCGCCCCCACCGTGCCCTCCCTTGCCAAAGAGTGAGCCAGCAACCGCAATGGGGCTTGCCCGGCCCTGCCCTCTCTTGCCAAATAGGGAGCCGCCCTGGGAGTGCCGCCGCTGCTTAATAGGGAGCCATGACCAAGCCCCATTCCCTGGCCCCCTTGCTAAATAGGGAGCCGCCCTTGACCCGGGTTTGCTGCCTTTGGGGGGGGGTTGCCACATAGTGAGCCATGGGGCTAGTCATTAGGACCCCCTTGCAACATAGTGAGCCATGGGGCTAGTCATTGAGACCCCTCTGCCACATAGTGAGCCATGGGGCTAGTCATTAGGACCCCCTTGCCACATAGTGAGCCATGGGGCTAGTCATTGAGACCCCTCTGCCACATAGTGAGCCATTCACCTTAAGCATAGGACCCCCCTGCCACACAGTGAGCCATTCACCTTAAGACCCCCCTGCCACATAGTGAGCCATTCACCTTAAGACCCCCCCTGCCATATAGTGAGCCATTCACCTTAAGCATTGGACCCCCCCTGCCACATAGTGAGCCATTCACTTTAAGCATTAGACCCCCCTGCCACATAGTGAGCCATTCACCTTAAGCATTAGACCCCCCTGCCACATAGTGAGCCATTCACCTTAAGCATAGGACCCCCCTGCCACATAGTGAGCCATTCACCTTAAGACCCCCCCTGCCACATAGTGAGCTATTGAGCTAAAGCATAGAACACCCCTGCCATATAGTGAGCTATTGCCCCCCTGCCATATAGTGAGCCATTGCCACACCCCATAGGCTCCCCCCCGCCACATAGTGAGCTATTGCAGCCTCTGACACATGCTGAGCCATTGCGCCACCCCATACCCCCGTTGCCACATAGTGAGCCAGGCCGCGCCCCTTACCCCTCCCCTGCCACATAGTGAGCCACAGCCCAGTCATTACCCCCGCTGCCAGATAGTGAGCCATTTACTTAAAGCATAGGACCCCTTCTGCCACATAGTGATCCAATAGATCATTCATTACCCCCCCTGCCACATAGTGAGCCATAGCCCGACCTCACCCCCCCGTTGCCACATAGTGATCCATAGCCCATTCCTTACCCCCCTGCCACATTCTGAGCCGTTGCCCCAACCTATCCCTCCCCCGTTGCCACATAGTGAGCTGTTGGACCCCCTGCCACATACTGAGCCATTGCCCCACCCCATAGGGTGCCCCCTGCCACATAGTGACCTATGGCCCATTCATTACCCCCCTGCCACATAGTGAGCCATTACCCCACCGCATACCCCCCCTGTTGCCACATAGTGATCTACGGACCCCCTGCCACATAGTGAGCCATAACCCCACCCCTTATCCCCCCGTTGCCACATAGTGATCCATCCCCATTCATTACCCTTCTTGCCACATAGTGAGCCATTACCCCACCCCTTATCCCCCCATTGCCACATAGTGATCCATCCCCATT